TAAACAAACTTTTTGGTCCATTTGAGGGTACCATACCACCTTAAAAAATGTTTTGCCGGTACGGGAAGATTATGAAAAGAATACTTGGGATATGCCTCATTCGACTCAAAAAGTGGACAACGCGCGGCAAATTTTTCCACCTTTTCATACCATCGTTTCGTTTAGATCAAACAGAAATGTCAAGATCCATTCGCCTTCGTTGGATACGGGGTGGGGGGGGNGGGTGGCGTGTGACTGTAACGCACTCGACTTTACGCGACTCGTCTAGTATTTATCACCTCGTTTCCAACGAGAGCTCTTGGAATCCGTGTTATTCATTTCACTTCACATGATTATGCGTCGTCTCTCTTCGTCCAGCTTTTATGCTTCCTGTTGATGCTATCTTTTTGCGAATCTCGCAAAGAAAAAAAAATGCATATCGTCAATGTTGACCTTTGTAGACCCTCTTTATAGTACAACGTTGTAATTTATCACAAAGGAATATGCCAAACTCTTTTGGTTTTTGGAATTGATGCCCATCATTGTAAAATATTACCGTGCCAAGTTAAATTCTTTGACTATCTGCCCGTTTAATGCGGATAAGAATTTGAGAATTTGTCGACAAATTTAGATTTTTCTGCCAAATCGTAGAAGGAACTATTCTACTTATTAAATATGCTAAATCCGACAGCTTTCCCATTGGCAGGAACACAGTCGATTGAACTCACGCAATCGCGCCCATCGTGAGTCAGCGATAAGAGTCATCAAGAAAATTAGCGGAACCAAACATCAATCCCTTATACATTTAGATGGCACGTTTATCAGAAACCTCTGATATTTCTGAGAGAACAAGAAAAGCAATTTCCGGAGAGGTGTTTTTGCCAACCGACACACTCGATCAGCCATGTGACGTTATATTGGTTGTCGAAGACGGCAAAGAATTCAAAGCTCACAGACACGTTCTTTCAAAGGCGAGTCCTTTCTTTGAAAAGCTGTTGAACAGTGACATGAAGGAGCCCAAAGAAGGGATTGTGCGACTTGAGGAGTTTAGCGAGTCTGTTATGGGAAATACTCTCGAGTTTATTTACACTGGTAATGTTCAGATATTGGCTGAAGACAATGCCCGAGACCTGATAATCATGGCCGATTATTTGTTTATTCGGAACTTAAAGACTCTCGCTGAGGAGGTTTTACTACAGAACGGGTTAAATTTTTCCGATTGTTTTTCAAACTACTACTTTTCCGAAAGATATCGATGCAGTGAACTGTTTTCCAAGTCCCAAAAATTCATCCTTTCGAATTTTAGTGCCTTATACGCAGCCAACCGGGAAGAGATTCTGAATATGCCGAGCAAAGATATTAAAATTTTCATTTCAAGCGATGAAATTAATGTTCGTGCCGAGGAAGATGTGTTTAATATCATTCTGTCATGGATTGATCACGACAAAGGCAAGCGAAAGAAATATTTTGCCGAGTTATTTCATCAAGTTCGACTGATTTATGTATCGCGTGACTATCTAGTCAGTGATATCGTAACAAATGATCTTATAAAAGACAATGAGGACTGTTTTTATCTTGTTGAAGACGCGATGAAGTTGACTGAGTCTAAAGACTTTGATGATCTTTATGTTACACCTAGGAAGTCACTTGAGACTTCCATTATTGCAGTTTATGGGTACGAGGCAGGTCCCAACATTCTGTTATTTTCCTAATGAAGACAAATGGTGTTGTTTAGGTGAATGTCTGTCTGTATCATCCACTTTATATCCCTGGCAAAGTGAATTTGTCGCTTGTCGGGGCAAACTGTATGGGATATTAGAATCACTGCCTTTAAATCCAGAATCTTGGAATGAATCGGACTCATTCCAACGCCAACTGATTAGCTATAATCCATACTCAAACAGCTGGAAAAGACTACCATATAAGGACGACAGATATCTGCAACAAATATTTGTTACAAATGAAAATGAAATGTACGCTTTAGTATCTGAACCATGTAAATATCATGGATTATGTCGGAGGTCGGTCAACACTCACAACACAGAGATAGATGCCTGTAGCAAGGAGAAACATGTTTCCTTCATTATGCAGTACAAACCCGAATCAAACTCATGGCAAGAAGTATCATCGTTTGATCATTTGGGTTTCAGACATCATTTCCGCATTGTAGCCAAAGGGAATGCTATCTATTTTATTGGAGGTGAAGAATGGGGGTATGGTGTCGCGAGCATTGTTTTCAGTGATGTCAACAGATACGACCTTACCAAAGACGAATGGAGCAAAATACCCGACATTCCTGAGGCCAGTAGGTACCCTTGGGTTGCTGCTCTGAACGACAAAATCGTTGTTGGTACAACTAAACAAAAAGATTTGCTGTGGCAAACGTATCGATGCTCAGTTTATGACGAAACGACAGACGAGTGGCGGTTTATTCCAAGCCCCAATGGCCGTCTTGAAAAACTCTTGGCCGTTGATGGCAAGCTGTACGCTGTGAGCAATGTAATGCGAGTTGCAGAAAGCATAGGCATAGATACAAGAATCGAATGTTATGACGCTGATAAGAATGAATGGAACCTGAAAAATGAAACAACTATCCCTGGCGTGAGTGGATTTACAAATGCTTGTTCACTGAGAATTTTCAAAGGATTCCTTTCCGACCATCAACTAGAAAATTTCACTCCTTGTAGCATATCTGGACCTTCTGTCACACAGTCTACGTCCTCTGTCAAATGCAAGTGCCACGTCATGTGATCTATGTCAGGTGATACGTCACCATAATCAAGCTATTGTTACAAGTGAATAAATGAACGATCATATATTTGAACTGCGGCGAAAGGTATGAAGACATGGTTGATCATCGCAGTTGTACACACAACTTAAGTAGTTGTGAAATTAAAGCCAATATACAACAGAACACTTCACGACCACGAACTGTTTAACATACTCTGCGAAAATAATGCTACATACACATGTGCAAAGTTCCCGTATTTATCGGGTGGTAAACAGCGTCATGTAAGAAACTCAGGATATGACATCTCCTTTTTTTACGAACCCATGACCTCTGCGGTACCGGTGCAGTGCTCTACCAACTGAGCTATCAAGCCAACTGGGAGCTAATCATGTTGATAAACTCACTCACTCGTGTTAACAAGTAAATCTGCACAGGTTGCTGTCATTTTCGAAGGAAAGGCATTTTTAAGTTCTCTGCAAAACTCAAGCTTTGGTTTCAGAAAGTCTGTACACAGCAGGTAAAGGGTTGAATAAATAATTTTGCCACCATCAATTCTAAATTCTTTGCGGCGCTATATATTTATTACAAAGGAAGCTACAGATTTAGGTTACAGATCATAGCGTTTGCATGAAGTATGCCGCTAGCAACGTCACAGCGATCAGCTGGGCAAACAGAGGAGTGGTCCACATATCAACAGCGTTCAGTCTCTTCTACTGGTATAAAATTAGAATAGCAATTAGTTTGATAGAAAAATTAGGTGATTAATTAGCAAAAGTATTTAATTGGTAATGAAGACTCTCACTGTTACGTAACAATTATTGACTAAGTAATTAGTTTCAATTTGTTACAACTAAGTGAAGTCGACAAAACTCGCGCACTGTTGCAAATTCCTTTTTATTTTCCAAAATGAGTGAAATCAAACCAGCTTACAAGACGTTTTCTGCCGAGGACGATTTTCCTGATCTTTCCACGCACAACAACTACATGGCAAAGGCTTTGACTAAAGAAATTTATGCAAAGTTGAGAGACAAAGCCACCAAAAATGGATTCACTTTGGACGATGTGATTCAGACTGGTGTGGATAATCCGGGTAAGTTGAGGAAATGTAGAAGTCCTTTTTCTGAAAAAGTTTCATTGTTTTTCAGCTTTTTGGTTGCAAAGTAACGCAGCTTCTCGAACAAAAATCACTTTGCCTGCTCGCGCTTAAAAGGCACAGGCAGCTTTTCTGTGGCCAACAGTGGCTGCACGTTCTATTTTCCGCATGCGCAGGGACTGTATTCCTCAAAAGAGTTGTGTCGAAGCCGTTGGACAGCGCCGCTATCAACGAGAGGAAACCGCTCCCTCGCGCTTTCTTGCCGTTCATGATTTAAAAATCAATAAAACGACAGCAAGCGCGGGGTTGTGGCGCGAGCAATAACGAACTTTGATATTGTATTGATGAACTCTGATGAAGGTGAACAGAGGTCGCCGAAAATTCAGTTAAAAAGCAACAGATCGGATTACAACGGCCATTGCTAAAATTTGAAAAAAAATTGGAGGATAATTGAACTTAAAAAAGATCAGAGTAATTTAATAAATTTAGAAGTTTGATTTTAAAATTTTAAAAGTGAAATTTAGAAAAACAAAATTTTATAGTTTTAAAATTTTTAAGTGTGATTTTAGACTTTGATGAATCAATATTCTCACTAGCGCACAAACATAAACAATATACGCATGCGCAGTAGAGTGTATTAGCACATTTTCCTAACCAAACGTGATAACCCTCAGCATCTTGCTGCTTATGCTTATGGGCAGGTAAAAACAGCTTTGGGGATTTACTAGACTCGTGATATTTGAACAATCTCAAGGTCGGACGAGCTTTTGGGCGAGTGCAAGTTGGCAAACTTTTCAAACATCAAAAGTAGTGTAAATCCCTAATTGCTGGACCTTTCATACCGTTAAACTCGTTTATTAATGAAAATTTACGAACACCCGCAAGTTAATTTGCACAGCAGCGCAAATTAAAAACCAACGAAAAGTGTTCTATCTCTCACCCAGTTGGAGTGAATTTTAAATTTTCTCAGCCATATTACAAATGATGATATAAGTATGTTTTGCTGTTTTTCAGGTCATCCATTTATCATGACAGTTGGTTGTGTAGCAGGAGACGAGGAGAGTTATGACGTGTTTGCTGATCTGCTTGACCCAGTAATCGAGATGCGACACGGTGGATACAAGAAAACCGACAAGCACAAGACAGACCTCGATTTCACGAAAATCAAAGGCGGGAAACTCGATGAGAAGTACGTCTTATCGTCTCGTGTTCGTACCGGGCGCTCCATCCGGGGCTTCTGTCTGCCACCACATTGCTCGCGTGCTGAGAGGAGAGGAGTGGAGAAAGCAGTGGTTAATGCACTTGACAAACTGGATGGCAACTTCAAAGGAAAGTAAGGACTTGTTTAAATATGGTTTACTTAATTTTATCGGTTGACTTTGGCTTTAAATAAACTGGACTCTTTGATTGCTTCGAATTTCTTGCAACTAAGGCAACTGAAAGCCAATTCCGTTACTTGACGGCTAATCAAAGGTTTGGGGTTAGAATTAGGGTCAGGATTCTTGTTCTTGGGTTTGCAATCTATAGTATTTTTATGGGACTGAGTTCTTTGCGAGTTGTAGAATTCGAGTTGCGAAGTGCGAAATGCGAGTACATCTTAACCAAAACACTTTTTGGATTAACCTAACCATTACTATTACGGAGTCCACTGACTTATTTAACTCACTAAAAATATTTCTTGTACGCCTTGCGTGCCTATGTTTCACATTTACCTTAATCAATGATGATCGATCGAGTTTGGGCGCCTGCAAAAATTTTCATCATTCAAAGGCATCCAAAATACCTCTTTTGCACTAAGCCTGGTCGAACCAATATGTTAATAATCATAGACTGCTCGCAACTCCACAACTATCCTGTTTTTATAAACGGCTGTTTGGCTCTTACATTTACATCCCTAGAGAGCACCAGTCTTTCCAATTCTTGCTGCCGTCACGGATAATCGTCGTGGGCAGTCCCCTTTACGTACAATGCTAATTTATTACACGAAACACAGAACCTATAAGATGTAGCTCATTTTATTGTCACAGCTTTCGACCCACACTCTTAGTGGTTAAGTTTTTCATAGCTGGCAAATTTGGAATGCTGTCTACACCAGCTTTATACTCTATTTTTATTTGATCTATCTCTTGATTACTGTCAGGTACTACCCACTCAACCGGATGACAGACGCTGAACAAGAACAGCTTATCGCAGACCACTTCCTGTTTGACAAACCAGTTTCGCCACTGCTGACGTGCGCGGGAATGGCACGTGACTGGCCCGATGCCCGCGGGATCTGGCACAATGAGAAAAAAAATTTTCTTGTGTGGATTAATGAGGAGGATCATACTCGGGTGATTTCCATGGAAACTGGTGGAGATATGGCTGCTGTGTTTGAACGCTTCTGTACAGGACTTAACAAGGTAAACTGTCCAACATCTTATTTCTCCTTACAAGACAAGATAAAGTCGACGAGAAGGAGGAAAATCATGTACCAGCTAGGTCTTGATGGAAAATCAGATTATCAAAACAAACATTAGAGAGAATGTACAATGGATAGTAAGGAGAACAAATATTACGATCTAAAGATTGTAAATTAATACAGTTACACGCACTTTTCGTATTATTTTGAAAAATGTTTGATACTGTATTGTCGCTTAGTACATTAGGAATATAATTCATGTCTTGTATTACCGGCATTTTATGAGTTACCTTAAATATATTGGGCAGGTCATCCTAAATTTAACAAGTTCCTCTTCCCTAAGCTAGCTTAGAGAACCCTTGCTTCTTTCTGGTTTATTTTTACTTCTTTCAATACTTTTTTCTCACTTGAGTACGCTATAATGTTGGAGTTTTCTTTCGATTTTAAAGTAATTTCTTACATAGCAATTTTGAATAATTAGGTTACAAAGTTTATGAAAGATTAACTTCATGGACATCGTACAGGTTCCAGTTAGGTAGGCAAATAACCATTAACCTCTGACATTGTGGGAGGCGCGGTGGCCTCATGGTTAGTGCGCTCGTCTCCGGATCGAGCGGTCCGAGTTCGAGCCCTGGCCGGGGACATTGTGTTGTGTTCTT